CTTTACGTTATCGGTAGTTCCATTGTCCGCCACGTTAAAGTAAAGGTTAAAAACACCCATGCCACTGTTTCGTGTTTTCCAGGTGCTCGTGTCTTATACATAGCCAGGCGCCTCCCCTCGGCTCTCAGCAGATGAAACGCCTTCGGGACCGTGGTGATCCATGCCGGGACCAACGACATCCTCGACCGACGTAGTGAGGTCCTGAAGGAGCACTACCAGACGCTGCTGGACACCGCCAGGAAGAAGACGGACGCCAGGATCGTCATCTCCGGACCGCTTCCCACCTACAGGAGGGGATCCGAGCGGTTCAGCAGGCCGTTCGCGCTGCAATCCTGGCTCCGCGGCTGGTGCGCCTTCAACGGCTTGGGACACGTGGACAACTGGGCCTCGTTTTGGGAACAGCCAGCGCTCTTCCAGAGGGACGGCCTCCACCCCAGTCATGTAGGATCTGTTGTCCTCTCTAGGAACATCGAGAGGGCCATCCACTGACTACACAGCGAAGGCCACGTAAGTAGCGCCAAAAATAGAAACGCTATAAAAGCTTATTCTATAAATATAAATGCTCATAGGTTTCTCCCAATAGAGACTGTGTCTGTGCCCCGAATAAAACAAAGCATCAAAAAGCCTCGAAGTGTTTGCTCTAGTAACTGGATTAATATCAGACCAGTTGTACCACTCTGCCATGACCACACCTTTGGTCTAAAACTAGGACTGCTTAACATAAGATCTCTCACACCTAAAGCCGTCATTGTTAATGAAATTATTACTGATCACGACTTTAATGCTCTGTGTCTAACAGAGACGTGGATTAGACCTGAAGAGTACTTGGCTTTAAATGAAGCCACGCCAACAGGCTATAGCTATGTACATAGTCCTCGCTTATATGGTCGGGGTGGAGGCATAGCAACCATTTACACCAATACTTTAGGACTAAACCAGAAAGCAGACCGTAGTTTCTCTTCCTTTGAAATTCAGTTTCTCAACGTTAGCAGTCGAGGAACAAACGAGAGCTCATTTTCGCTTATCATAATCTACAGGCCACCGGGGCCTCACTCTGAGTTTTTACAGGAATTTACTGACCTGTTGTCTAGTTTAATAACAATCTCGAATAAAGTAATAATTGTTGGAGATTTTAATATCCACATAGACAAACCACAGGATCCACTAAGTAAGGCATTCATATCTATTTTAGACTGTTTTGGCTTCACTCAAAATATTATGGGGCCTACTCATTACTGTAACCACACTCTAGACTTAATATTGACCTTAGGTATAGACATTAAGCATTTGGTCATCCTTCTTCAGACCACAGCAGTGTCAGACCACTACTTAATCTCATATGAAATCAGTTTTAGTCGTAATATATGTCCGTCCACACGCTATAGTGTTAAACGTACTATAACATCGTCTACACCCAATAGCTTTATTGAAAACCTTCCAGTTGTCCATCTGAACCCAATGAATTAGATATACTGACTAATTGTTTGGAAGACACTTTTCGCTCCACTTTAGATAATGTGGCTCCATTAAAAAGTAAAAGAATAAGGCAGAAAAGGCTCGCTCCATGGTACAGTGACCATACTCGAGCTATGAAACAGACTGTTAGGCGATTAGAGCGTAAATGGCGTCAGACTAAACTTGAGGTTTTCCATTCTGCCTGGAAGGAGAGTCTTATAGACTATAGAAAAGCACTAAAGTCAGCACGTTCAGCCTATCTCACGTCATTGATTGGAAATAACAAGAATAATCCTAGGCTACTATTCAGTACTATCTCTAAATTAACTAATAATCAAGCAGCTACTGAAGCCCAGATACCATCAGCCTACAGCAGCATTGACTTCATGAACTTCTTCAATAATAAAATTGAATTGATTAGGCACAAAATTCAAAATGCGCAGCATTGCAGTGCAGTGTCCTATAAACCTAATCTAGATCTAGAGTGCAGTATAACCACTACAGAGACGCTGGAGTCTTTTACTTTACTCCAACAAACAGAGCTCGTCCAAATTATTTCATCTACAAAAACAACAACTTGTATACTAGATCCTATTCCTACAGGTTTACTTAAAGATGTTTTGCCAGAAATAACTAAGCCCTTTCTAATTATAATAAACTCTTCTCTCAGCCTCGGGTATGCCAAAATCTCTTAAATTAGGTGTAATTAAACCCTTAATAAAGAAACCTAGTCTTGACCCCTCTGAGCTATCAAACTATAGACCTATTTCAAATCTTCCCTTTTTATCAAAAATTTTTTTAGAGAAAGCAGTGGCAAAACAATTATGTTCCCATCTGCATAGGAGTAATATATATGAAAAATTTCAGTCCGGCTTCAGGCCTCACCATAGTACCGAAACAGCGTTAGTGAAAATTGTAAATGATCTTTTATTATCCGCTGACAAAGGAAACATATCCGTACTGGTTTTACTCGATCTTAGTGCAGCTTTTGACACAATAGACCATTCCATTCTATTAGACAGGCTTGAGAAACTAGTAGGAGTGACAGGTAAAGCTCTTTCGTGGTTCAAATCTTACCTTAGTGATCGCTTTGAGTTTGTTAATGTAAATGGTGAACCATCAGCTCTCACAAGAGTAAAGTATGGTGTTCCACAGGGCTCTGTCTTAGGACCCATGTTATTTACCTTATATATGCTAACACTAGGTACCATCATTAGAAAACATGGCATCAGTTTCCACTGCTATGCCAATGATACACAATTATATATTTCAGCTAAACTAGAGGACAAAACTGAACTTAAGAGGACTTAAGATAGAGGACTGTGTAAAAGACATTAAAGAATGGATGTCAAGCAACTTCCTTTTACTAAATTCGGACAAAACCGAAGTCCTTCTTCTTGGTCCAAAAGCTGCTAGGGATAATCTGCCTACGTTTACTCTTAATCTCGATAGTTTCTCAATTGCACCAGGCACATCTGTAAAAAGTCTTGGTGTCACGATTGATCCCAGTCTGGCCTTTGATGAGCATATTATCAATATTACCAGAATAGCTTTCCTCCACCTGCGTAACATCGCTAAATTAAGAAATGCACTGTCGCTACAGGATGCAGAAATGTTAGTTCACGCCTTCATCACGTCCAGGTTAGATTACTGTAACGCTCTGCTTTCTGGTTGTTCCAGCCAAAACCTTAACAAGCTTCGGTTAGTCCAGAACGCTGCAGCCAGAGTTCTCAGCAAAACCAGGAAATTCGACCATATTAGCCCAATTTTGTGTACCTTACATTGGTTGCCAGTTAAATTCCGCGTGAGTACAAAATTCTTCTACTGACATATAAAGCTTTGAATGGCCTTGCTCCTCAGTACCTCAGTGACCTTATTTCCTATTATCATCCGACACGCCCACTTAGATCACAAGGTGCGGGCTCATTATTAGTACCCATAATAAATAAAGTTACGTCAGGGGGAAGAGCCTTTTCATACAAAGCCCCCCAGCTTTGGAATAACCTACCAGTCTGTGTTCGGGACTCAGACACAGCCTCCATCTTTAAGTCTAGACTGCCTGTCCTAAGAGGGTCTGACCTGAGATGCGGCCAGCGCACTGCACAGTGGTGTTAAACTGTATCCACTTATACTCTTTTGTGTCTGTCCTCTTATCCGGTGTCGACCAGAGGAGGATGGGTTCCCCTTTTGAGTCTGGTTCCTCTCAAGGTTTCTTCCTCCTGTTGAGGGAGTTTTTCCTTGCCACTGTCGCCAAGGCTTGCTCACTGGGGGCGTGGACCCGGATTCTTTGTAAAGCTGCTTTGTGACAACATCTGTTGTAAAAGGCGCTATATAAATAAATTTGACTTTGACTTTTGACTCTGTATCAGTTACTGTTGAGCAGTGGGTTTCCCGTGCTGAGTCAATAAAAGAGAACTCATTCAAAGCACTATGTTTCCTACATCTTCTTTGTCTACGATGACGCCACATTGTTATGTGGAAATGTCATAATATTGTGACTATTTAGTGGTCACTGTGCTGTAAACTAGAACCAAGGAAGAGCACTGATGGTACAGTTTGATTGTGTTGCCCTTTATATGATATGGGTTTTTTTTTTAAAGAAGAAGATGAGATATGTCTCATATTTTTATAAATATATTTTGGTTTTGGAGTAGAGAAGGTGATGCCATGTACTGGACTAAGCTTTTAGGTGTGTGAGGAAAAGAGTGAATACACTGGCCCTTTAAGTAGTTACTGATGGGATTGTTCCATGTGGAAAATCATAAAGAGGAGGATCAGGTCAGCTCTGCTGTACCTCAGCCTTTAAGACAGCCACTGAAGTTCTGGTTGAAATCCACTCCACTAAACAAGTCTCCAAAGTCCTATCTAAACAGGCTTGGCCTGTGCAGGTCAGTGGAAAGGAAAGCAGTAGTGTTCAGCATGATGAAGTGTGCTCTGTGGTTTGCAATCATCTATGTAGATGGCTTCAAGTTCACTTGAATTGTTAGCCAGGAATCGAAAGAAAAAGAACACATTTTGGTACATTTGTTCAACTTTGCAGTTTTCTGGTATGTCTTTGTAGAAGTCTAAAAACCTGTGTGTGTGTGTATGTGTGTGCATGTGTAACATCTACAGATCTATCTATCCATCCATCTATCTATCTATCTATCTATCTATCTATCTATCTATCTATCTATCTATCTATCTATCTATCTATCTATTTATTCATTTATTTATGCTGCATGTCTTCTACACATATCAGTCTGCAACCAGAGTGTGAGTGTACATTGACTGCATGCAACTAAAAATGCTTTGGACGGCTGCCAGCAGGAGAAGAGAACTCACTGGATCAAGAGTTTTGTGGTTTGTTCTTTTTGTTTGCCTTTTAGTCTTTATGTCTTTGTAGTTACTCTATGTTCCCAGAGTAAAGGGTGGGGCTAAATCATCTGTGAAACTAACAGCTAACAGATTCCTGCCCTTTTTTAGGTCTGGATATGTATGCATGTGTGTGTGAGAGAGAGAGAGAGAGAGAGAGAGAGAGAGAGAGAGAGGGAGAGAGGGAGGGAGGGAGGGGAAAGAGTTTATGAATGTTGGGGGTGTGTGTTGGGAGGGGAGAGAAAAACAAACACATACAGAAGCAGAGATAGAAGGAGTGGAGACAGTTCATGAAGTAGAGAAGTGGCTCTGCTTGTTTTCATTTTTCTGTAATGACCACTGTGCCGTGAGTAGGAAGGACGATACGAACGCCAGGCAGCTCCAGCACAGGGAACACAGAGACTGCAACTCCTCTGCACTCTTCTCCCCCCCTCTCTCTGACATTTACACCCACCTGTTGAGTATGCCCACCCCACTAGCTCTCATGGTCATTTCAGCAACAGTTCTCTGAGCGTGTGGCTGCACCCGCTGCCAACCGTCTTGGTCACTTTTTTGGAGAGATGTCGTCCCTCTACTCACGTAACAAGGATCTGTCCTCTCGCACCAGGAAATCTTTGTCGGACTCACCGCCCTCCTCCCCGTCCCCCAGCACCAAAGCCTTCCGAGTAAGAACCAACTGTGCATGTTTAAAAGTTTTTTGAGACTTTGGGATGACTGTGGAATTTATCAGGGTTGCCTTTGGGGTGTATTGGTAGTATTAGAGCAGTGTCACAAAATTGCTGTAACTGAAATTCAAATGTTGAAATGTTTTTTAGAAGCAAGACTTTGTTGCCTCCTTTTTTCAGAGCCAAAAGTGACTACAGCATCTTTTGTTGTGCCATGAAATAATGTAAATGTGATAATGACAAATGGCTGTAATTGCTTGTGGGACAGTAGAATGATTTAGGGTTGGTTTGTGTTGTGGAGACTCGTACTTTGTGGCAATCACAAAAGACATCCTGGTGTGCTGTTTCTCAGGTCATTGTTTTTGTTTTTATTTTATTTTTATTTTACAGAGAAATATAGAATCATATAAGTAGGTAAAGCCTAAAATGTAATTTTGGTTGGCAACAGTAAAGTGTGATGTTTAACTGTTAGTAATAAAACGTGTATGGTAGATAATTTAAAAGGGTGTTTGCAATGACAACCATTTTAGACTACAATTAAAAAATAGCTTAGTTTTTAACATCATGCCATGTTTTGCCACTTTTGGTAGACTTTCTGGTGGTATACATAGTAGGTCTGTAGTCTGTAATATTACACTAGTTTCTAGTGGCATACTGGCTCCATGGTTGTATCATATGTATCATCTGTAACGATTAGGCACAACTTAATATTGTGTTGTGAAGTGCTGTGAAGTGTTAAATGACACTCCTGTTGTGTTGTTCATATTCTTATCCTCAAAATCAAGCAGGAAATGGGCATGTGATTGCTTGGAGTATTTTTAAAGCTTTGATCTTTACATGTTACAGAAATCACTTTTAACTGCATATGTGAACCTTTTCCCTGAACTGAAATATAGAAATTTCTTCTAAAATAGTACGGTAAGCTAATGCCATATGTATTTCCACACTATACAAATCAATTTTTTCTCCTTATTAGATTAATTCAAAGCCCCTCTTCTCAAGAAAAGTGACCATTAACCAAAGCCGTATTGCGGCTTAATGTTTGATAGATTAATAGCTCACTGAGATTATGTAAGAACTACACTATTTGGACAAAAGTATTGGGACACCTACACAGTACACCCACAAGAGCTTTTATTTTATCCCATTCTAAATCCATAGGCATTAATATGGAGTTGGTCCCCCTTTGCTACTATAACAGCTTTCACTCTTCTGGAAAGCTTTCTACAAGATTTTGGAGTGTGACTGGGGGAATTTTGCCCATTCATCCAGAAGAGCATTTGTGAAGTCAGACACTGATGTTGGATGAGAGGGACGGCTCGCAGTCTCCATTCTAGTTCATCCCATAGGTGTTTGATGGGGTTGAGGTCAGAGCTCTGTGCGGGCCAGTTAAATTCTTCCACACCAAACTCACCCAGCCATGCCTTTATGGAACTCGCTTTGTGCACTTGGGCACAGTCATGCTGGAACAGAAAAGGGCCTTCCCTGAACTGTTCCCACAAAGTTGGAAGCATACAATTGTCCAAAATGTCTGTGTATGCTGAAACATTAAGATTTTCCTTCACTGGAACTAAAGGGCCTAATCCAATCCCCCCGAAAGCAAAAAGCATTATCCCTCCTCCACCAAACTTTGCAGTTGGCACATTGCAATCAGGCAAGTAAGGTCCTCCGGACATTCCCCAAACCCAGAAAGCCAGATAGAGAAGCGTGATTCGTCACTCCACAGAATACGTTTCCAGTGCTCCGAAGTCCAGTGGCGGCGTGCTTTACACCACTCCCCCCTTGTGTGGCATTGTGCATTTTGATCTTAGGCTTGTGTGTAGCTGCTCAGTCATGGAAACCCATTTTGTGAAGCTTCTAACGTGCAGTTCTTTTGCTGATGTTGCTTCCAAAGGCAGCTTGGAACTTGTTAGTGAGTGATAGGCACTGTGCACTTGAGCCCTCTGTGGCCCCACTCTGTGAGTGGTCTACCGCTTTGTAGCCAAGCTGTTGTTGCTCTGAGGTGCATCCATTTCAAGATAATAGCACTTACATTTGACAGGAGCAGATCTAGCGGAACAGAAATCCCCTATGACAGTGCCACGTTTAGTCGCTAAGCTCATCAACACGACCCATTACACTGCCGGTTTTTGTTAGTTGAGGCTTTAAGGCTATATGCTTCATTTTTTCCACCAGTTAGTAATGGTCGTGTCTGAAAACCTGAACTCAGTAATTAGGAGGTGTGTCCCAATACTTTTGTCTATATAGTCTATCTAGGATTCACAAAAAAAAATGTGTAATTTGGTACAGCTTTGATTATGTGAATAGTATTTAATATACAAACAGAAAGCTGTATTTGCAAAAGCATACCATGCCATTGTGAAGAGATGCTTTTGAAAGCTATATTCTTTAAAGCTGTGTCGAGGCCCTTTATTTATAAATAAAGGGCATCAACACAGTTCAGACTGTAATGTACAACTGAATCCGATTTCCGGGAAAACACAGTAGCAGACAATTCAAAAATATAAAAAAACAAAAAACAGTGGTTTTATTTTTTTATTTATAATTTTAACCTTATTATCTTAAACTTTTGTGCCAGTTGAACAAAAAATTGCATTAGTGGCAATAATTTTAAGACAACCAGGTTAATACTTCATACTTTTTTAGTGAAACATTGCAGCATTTTTTGCAACGTAAAGAGAGTATTCATAATGATATTCATTGTAACAGTAACTTATTGCGCTGTAAGTTTTTGCTTTGCTTTACAACAAATTCAACCATTTGATTATTCACTATGCCACTTAAAATACATCAGTGAGTATTGCATTTTTAGACCTCAGAAACTTCGCCTCAGTGGGAGAAAGAGACCATTGTCTCTTTACAAGAAGCTTGTAAAGTCAGCAGGTGCTGCTCTCCATCTGTTTTGGTTCTAACAATGCAGTGCATGATGTGGGTGAAGAAATTATTCTAAAAAAAGGAATTGGACTGCCAAAGCTTGAACAGATTAGAGTGGCAGAAAGCAAATTTGAAAAAGATTACAGATCTAGGATTTGTTCCCTCGTCCATAAAACACTTCTTAGAACAAATCAGTACTGTATGAATAAATATCACATTTCACGAAAGATTGTTATATACAAATCTGCAAAAGCTGGCGAAAAATATATGAATGTCAAAATATGTTTACATGTTTGTTCTAATCATAATCGGATTTCTTTTCCATTACTTCCATGTATGGGCTTGAAATTTCCATGACGAGGATGGACTTGTTTTGGCAAGGTTTCCTTGGGAGAAAGAGGGAGAAGCATGTGCTTTATTTTTAGGATGCCTCTACTCATTGTTTGCTGGGGGCTTTTTTTCTTTCTATCTGAAACAGCTGTTGTATAACAGCATACAGGGGCTTAAACAAGCCAACACATTTGTCGGGCAAGGTAATAGGTCTCATGTTAGGGTATGAGAAGATCTGAGAACACACTAGTAGAGAAGGAATGAAAAGGTTGAAACGAAAGTTTATTTTTTGTAGGGATTGACAGACATAGAAGCTGGAGCCTGGAGAAGCAGATAAAGATGGGTTGAGTGAGATAGGAATCAACCCATGAGACACTGGAAAGCACAAACGACTTTTATGGAACTGTGTATTGGAACACTCCATTTGGGTATACTGACGCTCACATTTTCCATTTTGCAAGCTGGCAAGATGACCAGCTTTCAGTGGGGGCTGCAGGGAAGAAGTGTGAGAGGGAATGAAAAAGAGTGTCCAGTCTTGCCCACAGAGAGAAAAAAAAGATAAGGGTTGCAGGTTCTCATTCCAAACAAAGTAGGAGCACACATGATCAGCTGATCAGACTGAGAGCAATGGATTAAAGAAATGTAATCAAGTGTGCTCCTGCTTGTTTGGTATAAAAACCAGCAGCCACCCCAGCCTTTTGCGAAAAAGATTGGACACCCCTGCTCTAGACCTTACATAGTAAATTTGATTAGTATAACTTCTCTTTCTGGTTCCACCCATACATAGAGTAGGTTTAAAAAGGAATCTTTCTGAAGGTTTTTTGTCAGTAATTTAACTTTCACTTATGTTATTGTTTTCTGTAGACTTAGGTGTCAAAAAATCAGATTGCATGGTGGAAATTGTGTGTTGTGGGATTAAAATAATTTTTAAAACCCTTAATCTTATTATAAAGTAAATATTTCATATCTCTCCAGTTCATTCAGATTCTGCAGTACACGCTTGTTGACCTTCCTCTTCTTGCATGGGGTCAGTATAAACCTACCTCCTCTTCCTGGGAGATTATTCATATACATGAGTATCCAATGAGTAATTTTCTAAAAAAAGTTTCAGGTGTTAGTGTTGCCTGGAAAATTAGGCTACATTCTTGTCATACATGTCAATGTGAATTGGAAATCATAATGGATTTTTTCTCCATTCCGTTGCGTGTTTCTGAGTATTAGAGTATTAGAGAGGGTCCCTGAGTTAGCTGAGCATTTTCATTTGATGATAGGTGAGGATAGTGGGAGGAGGAGATGAAACATAATATTATTGATTATTATTATTTTTTTACCACCCACTGGTGCATGATGATGTAATTAAATATCATGATACAATTTAAAAGTGGGTAAAAGTCATTACATATTCATGGAAGATTGTAGGAAAACAAGAGGTTTATCTTTTAAATGATATGATGAATCTTGTGGCTGGACGCATGAACTTAAAGGTAAATAAAGACAGTTTGCTGATATATTAATGACATAAGTGTGTGTGTGTGTGTGTGTGTGATACAGTACATTTGCCAAATTTACTCTCAGTAAATCTGTGCGGCTGTGGTCAATAAATCTTTCTGTATGTGGATTTTGGTCTGTGGTCAACTACTGTGCTCTGGTCAGAGTGTGTCCACCGTGGTCAGGAGAGATGTATATTGTTGTAGTCATGAGGACTGTGGGTGAATGGATAATTGAATCTCTGCATGTGCTGTTGGCAGTATGTGTGTGTGTGTGTACGCGCATGTACTGTGGTCTATAAACTCTTCTCTTTGTGGATTGTGGTTAATAGTACTGCTGTGCCCTGGTCAGGATGTATGTGGTGTGGTCAGTAGCTCTTTCTGCACTGTGGTGTAGTTCTGTTGTGTTCTGGTCAGTGAACAGCAGGCTCTTAGGAGAAGGAGGCTGCAGCAGCATATCGTATGACCACATAAGGACAGGCCTTTCTGCCAGTGCTGTGTAAACATTCTTAGAGCTCAGAACTGCACCTCACCAGAGCCAGCGTGCCTGCTGCTTCCTAGTTTACTTTCCCTTACGTACCATAGCCCTTAGTCAGGCAGTAAAATTCACAGTTAAAGAGATGTAAAACACAGACTCACTCCATCAATCTTATATATGTTCAGGTACTGTATATACAGGACATTGCCAAGCATGACCCTCTACTTCACTCACTCACTGCTTTTATGCCTGCTGACCTTACCAGCCAGTGCTGAACTTGAGAAATGGATGTGGTGTAATTACTTGTTTAACCACAAACTCAAAGCTTTTTTTTTTCTTTTAAACAAGGCTTAAATGACTGTGCTCTGTCTTTGTCCTTTTTTGGTATTGTAAGGTCCCTGTCAGTTTGGGCATCAGACCGTTTTTCCTCTCCAATGTATAATCAAGTTTAGTGTGGATGTGTCTAAACAGGATGTGTGGATGTGTATCTTTGGCTTCTCTCTCTCTCTCTCTCTCTCTCTCTCTCTCTCTTTCTTGCTCTGTGAAAGATATCAATCTATAATCTCTAGGAATGTAAGAAGAGAAGATACTTTTTACTCAGTTCTCTCCCTGTTTTTTTCTTTCTCTGATTTACATTGGTTTTCTGCGTTTTTTTTTAGCCTTTGTTCCCTTCTCTTTTTTCCAGCCATCAGGTTTGTTACTAAACACATTTAGTCCTGGGTGCATCCCTGTATTCTGTAGCACCTATAGTTTAAATGTAAATTGTTAAAAGTGTACATCAAATTTGACCTGAGATAAAACACTAATATTTCTCTTCCTCATTTAGTCATTTACTAATGCTTTTTTATTAGGTTTTGTAGAGACTCCATGAGAGGGTAATATATCTGAGATGATTTAAAAAAACATGGCTGTAACTCACAGCATTTAATACCAAAAAAAACAATTGCTTGCTAACCTGCATTAACAAATGATTTGACTTGCAATTCCTTGACATAAGAAGTTAAAAATTAAGTAATTTGTGGTGATTTCTGTCGCTGAATTGAATTAGATCTGTTGAAGGGAAAGGGAAGAGGCACAATTAAAAAAATAAAACAGTAAATAATGTTCAACATTTTACACAGTCAAGTTAGGGCTATGAACTTGTCATTGTACTTGAGCTGAACATTCTGAATATGCTGTTCATGTTCATCAGTTGTGTACTGAAAACCAAGGCAGAGAAAAAGAAAAAAAGTCTTCCATGTGGGCACACTTTGAAACCCAAGAGTGCTTTGTCCATGTACATAAAAAGAAGTCAAATATATCTAATTTTGATAACCTATTTCAGAAACGAAGTAATACAGATTAGCTTTTGCAATTCTTAAAAACAATAAAAAGAGACAAGCAAAAAAACAAACAAAAAATATACTATGTTCCTATGTCACTATGTATATAAAAATAGAACTGGAATGCTATGTTTTTAAACCACTACGATGAGGTTTATTTATTTATTTAAGCCCAATTTCCAGACTATCATTGGCCATGAATTTTTTTGCCTTTAGCTGCTACCTTATCTTACAAAAACATGTGTAGATCTTAGTCAGTGTTAATCAGTTAATGTACAAGTACATGGCAGGCAACCAGTAGCATTAAATGACATAACAGAAAAAAATGTGACACAGCTGATAAAAATGTGTTTTTTTCAACAGGGTTCTTGAATTGGGAATACATTACACCACCTCTTAATGAATTATTTTTGTGTGACTGCACGTACCATAGTAGAAAGGGAAGGAGCAAATTTTCATGTTAGCTTTTTCATGTTAGAATGATATTTATAAATGCTGGTCTGCAAAGTTAAGGTGATGAAAAGTAGCAGTATATTATCATGAAATCACATTTAAAGTACTTTACCTTGTGACTTTCTTTTGCAGCATGATAGAACATCTAGGTGAGTACTGAACTTTCTATTTTGTTTCTTGTTTTTTTTTAAAAAAAGGAAATACAATATATAATAAATATGAGGTAAGATAAAAAGAATTGTTCTGAAATTATCCAAAAGACGTTGCACAAATGTCTGCCTTTAACAGGTCAGATGGCGGTGGTGTAGAGGGCTCATCAGAAAGACTCAGCCGTACCAGCTCCTACACACGTAGGGAGAACCGCTTAGCTTCTCTGAATAAGACCAATGATGACTCCGCCAGCAAGGACTACAAGAAGGTTAGTAAACATACCACTAGTTACCATTTGATTAAGTACTTAAACAGCTTCTTTCATGGTTCATTCATTTTCTTAGAGCTAATTTTTATAAATTGCATGTCATGATGTTAATATAATGGAAACAAAATGTATTTGGTTCAGTTCAGTCCTGTGTGACAAATTGGTCTCCTTGTTTAAAACACAGAGACAAAGATTTGTAATGAAATGATCTTCACCAATCGAGGGATGTTCACTCCGGGTCATGTTAGTAAACACCTTATTAACAGAGCAGAGTAAACAACAGAGTGAAATTTAGGCCTTCTTTAAAAATACAGAATAACTTTATTATATTTATTATAACCATTACATTGTCCAAATTCAGCAGCCACTAAGACTTGAATAAGTCCTCATTACTGATGTTCATTGGTAAAGCATAGATCAGCAACTTCCCTGGCTCTGGGGATACATTTGGCAGCTTGAATTCTATGTTTGTTTATTTCATTTTGCCAGTTGTATGAGGATGCGCTGGCGGAGAATGAGAAGCTAAAAACTCGTCTGGAGGACAGCAAGCAAGAGCTGGCCAAAATCCGTTCACAGCTGGACAGAGTCACACAGGTGAGAGCACACTCAGCCAAGCTCTGAGAGAAAGATTTTCTATGGCTATAATGATTAGTTTGCCCCGCATCTTCCAAGAAGTATGAAAACAGCACTGCTCACTGGTCCTCTGTTTACAATTAAATCGCTGAGCCAACATTCTCTAAAGCAGGCATGTCAAATTCTGGGCCAAAGTGCTCATCATCTAATGTTCTGAAATCAGTGTATGAAGGCCTTGCTAAATAGCTAATGAGCTGTATTAGGTGTGCTTAATGGGGCAGCGTGCTGGAGTCTGCAATGTTTTGGCCCATGAGGACTGGAGCTTGACACATGCTCTAAAGCCAGTAGTGTCTATAAAAACAAGTAGTATATATCTGAATGTCCGGATGGAGGATTCAAAGTGCAAGCAGTGATGATAGTACCATGACTACCTTAGAACTAGTTACAAATTTACCACAGAGAGCAAACATGCTGCTAAATTTTAATGAGTGTGTGTTATTGTCATGTTGAAAGTGGTGCAACATTTGGTGCAGCATTTTAAGCTGGCAGTGATTTTTTTTTTTACTTGGACTTTAAATTTGAAACAATAAGGAAAAATGTGATTTGTATATATTCCAACACAGATCTTTCACAGGTGAAGGAATGCTTGACAACATGCTGCATTCAAAACAGACCAAAGTCAAAAATCCAAAAGTTCAAAAGTTTTATTAACACATATTCCATAGACTACATATACAACATTTTTCTATAAATGGGGATCCTGACACATTTTACTGCTTCTTTTTGTTTTTTTTTTTCATTTTTAATATTCTAATTACTACATGTAATATTTTTGAATGCTACCTTTTTTACATGCACTGTACAAGGTCATTTCTTTAGGCTTATTATTATTATGTTTTCTTCTTGTCTTACCAAGATGAAATATTCATGTTGTGCCATTTTATTATTTATGCTTCTGTTTACTACCTTTGTGTTTCAGAAGCAGGACAGAATTTCGGAGAGGTCCAGTGTGTTTGAATCAGAGAAAAGGGTATATATACATATATATGTATAAACTATCTCTGTATTTTGCTGAGCATCTTGTGCCTTACAATATTTAATGTCTACAACAGTCCATTCATAGCCTTTTCAGTTTTATTTACTTGTCACCATGTCAGTACCATGGCGTCTACTGTAGATTTCATGTTACTGTTATATTTATGGGGGGGGGTAGATTTTACTAACTCAGCAGAGGAGCTAAGCTAGTGTACTCAAAAAATCAAAACAGTGTCCGATTTCAATTTTGATGACCGCGTTTTAAGCATGTTAGCAACGTCAGCCTAGCATCTCCCGTTGTAAACTAAAGAAGCACACGTCAGATATTAAACTACATCTGGGGTAACTGATAAATCACTTTACTTTGATATTTCACCAAACTTTTCTTTTAAGAAGGGATCTCAAAGTAATGTGTTAATGATTACTCTTTTTTGTGAAGGAAAAGCAGGCATTGGAGAAGAAAGTATCTGACATGGAAGAAGAGCTTAAGGTAAGAGGGTGACTATGCCTCTACAACATGCATGTGATTAAACCAGTTTTATGAGTTTCATGTGCTAGTCAGTGTCCTTAAAACGTAGCATGCTGTGCTAGCTAGTTGTAATGCAGCTAAGCTAACCTGAGTCAGCACGTTTGTGTTTATGTTTTGACTAGAATTATCTGTTTATGCTGACTAATTTTATAGTATGCAGATGTTTAAGCTAGCTCGGGTATAGACAAACACCAAAGCCATGAACATGTGCTCTTGCCCTGTATTGCTAGTCTGAGACAGTGCTTGATAGCCTCACAGCATCCTGCAGCTGCAATATTACGTGGTGACCTAGTTCCTGTTACACTGGAGCCAGTACAGAACCCATCGCTCAGACCCTGGGACACGGCATAGTCTTTGTTCAACATTCCAGCAGTAATTGCACAAAGTTGACATTTTGAGAGGCTAAGAACAACACAACAGCAAAATACATGCTTTGGAAATGATTAAGAAATACCTGCATCAGCTGTGGTTGGCTAAGCTAAAGTGACAAATAGGATGTTAAAAAGCCTTTGGACCGACCTACATTTAAAAGTTCTGGTCAAAGATATCTGTACAGCAAAATGTTGACTACTTTAGAGACACATGGTGCAGATTCAGAAGATGTGTTCTTCTCAAAGACAGTAATTTTACCCCAGCCCCCAAAAAAGTCATGAATTAGCACTGACACTGGCATAATTTTGATTTAAAATATTCATTCATACTAGGTTGCTAACTAGACTCACCTGATGTGAGGAAGCAGCAGGCACTTGTTTGACTGGTATATATTGTCCCCACTGCCTCAGAAGTCTGCCCCAGTGAGGTTTCGCTGTGGCTACCAGCCCTGAGTTGATCCTCGGCTGGAGTAAGGGAAAAGGGGGAAAATGGTGAGTGGCCAAAACCACTACTGGTTGCCTGCTCACAGACACTCATCCTCCACAAAAAGGCATGAAAACACATTGGTCACTGCAATATAAACAGTGCGTGACAGCCTGATCACAGTTTTCTGTATTATCACAGTAGATTGAATGTTGATTGTTGTTACTCATGATGTGCTGGAGATCTCGATAGATTTTAGGGTTTTTGTAAAAATAGCAGTTTCATAGCCATCAATCAGTATTCTGCAAATTAAATAAGGTTAATTGATGGCTACTAGTTTACATTCATTGGTAGTCATGTTGTCATGCATGCTCAAGCTATTTCTTAATGGGACTAGTCCTCATAAATTCCATGATATGTAATTTTATACTATGAAGACAGTTTGGAGGATCTGTGGTGAACCAGAACCTCAATGATTGGCATGACATATACGCAATTATTAGCATGTTCTCTTTTTGGTTAATGTTTCAGTTACAAGCTTATAAATGTTGTATAAACTCGTCCAAACTGTTGTCATGGTATATAATTTCTTGACTGGGATGCGAGAAATCCCAATAGGGATAACCGGTAAAGAAAACTGAGGAGGCCTCTGACTAATTTTGTACTGTAAACCTTTATCTAAATGGGCATCTCCTTTTGGCTTTTCCTCTTCTCCATTCTCCTTAATCCATGTTTTAATCAGGGCTCAAAGTTCTGCTCCAGCTTTGAACAATGTAGCGTGGCGCATGCCCACATGACACAAGTTAGAACCACAAATCACACTTAGTTAATTCAGACAAACACTGTACTGTCAGCAGTATGTGCAAGCTTAATCAGTGAATTGCACCAGGCAAAAGAACAACTGTAGTTTGCTGGATGGCCTTCAGATGTTTTTAGGGTTCATGTCACAGCCAGAGATCTGGCAAAGAAACCTGGAATGGTGGTCCCAGATCTGTGGATCAGAGCATGAAGAGCGTGTCAAGTGGTTTTCTTCCATAATGGTGTTAACCCAAAGGACTTCTACACACACTGGTGTAGGATCCCATTGAGGTTAACCACAGATCCCTCAAATGTCTTGTATAAGCCAATGTTGAGGAAATAGTTAGAGTTTTAGTTTGGCAGGTTGTATGCTGAAAACCTTTCAGATAGCCAAGTTCATCCATGAATGACATGGACGTATTTCCAGAGATATTCGCTTTTTTTGTTTCAAGGTTGCTATCCAAGCTCGAATTCAAAGAAACACATAAGCACACCCACAACTGTACTGTCTTTCTCACTGCCCCTTTTCAGTCTTGCTTGTAAGGAGTGCTGTTTGCATGGTTTGCAACGTTGTTGTATTAGGCTTGCATGCCACCGTGTACTCTTTCTACTTCTTTCTTCTGTCTTTGATCCTTATTATCTTTTGCTTCCTGGCATTACACTACACTTAAACTCTGACACGCCTTCCCTAGCTCTCTTTTCTTTCTTCTTTTCTTCTTCTTTTCCACACTTTTAGGCTAATTCACCCCAAATTCTCCTTCTTTCTTTGTGCCCCCCTCTTCTCTCTAGACCCTCCCTGCGCTGGCTCGGCTGCGGGCTTTCCGCAGGGCCAATGAGCGCCTGCTAGCAGAGAACAGAGCCATGCTGCACATCTTCACTTGCCTCGCCCAGACAGCTTCCCTTCCTGAGACGGAGGATCTCTAGTCCTCCTCTCTTGCTCTCTGTCCTTCTCTTCTTTCTCCCCTCTTCTGTCACTGCCACCTCCTCTTCCTCCACATCTACGTTGCTGCCAGGCAGGTCTTTGTATTCCTTATTCTCTTACCTTTGCACAACTTGACTCTCTCTCTCTCTCTCTCTCTGTATTTCTCTCTCTCTCTCTCTCTCTCTCTCTCACCCTCCCCCCATTCTCCCTTGGGCCTGAAGAATCGCAAGCCATTGCATTCTTCCTGCCGCCGATGCCTTTGAAGATATTTTTAGAGATATTTGCATCATGGCTGAAAGACTCTGCGACTCTGTCGTGTTGAGTCCAGCACACTTTTTTTTTCAGGATGCAAGCTTTGTACTGCCATTCTGGTTAATACAGCAGCAGTATTTATGGCACGGGTTAATAGATAAATCCTCCCAAATTACAGTTAAGACTGGTTAATAGAAAGATGTATGTGATTATGATCATTTAAGCTAATTTAAGTGGTTAAGGCTTTTGCAGGGGTGCCTGTACAGCCCTCTGTGTCATCTGGAGGATGCTTGACAGTGATAAATGATAGCCAAATGTTCAAACTAGATAAAGTTAAAATCCTTCAAGTAAATGATTTTGAAAAGGCTTTTCACTGTCTAAACTGGAAAAAATCACACTGCAGCAAGTGTCACACTTGTGTGTGTGAGAGGGAGAGTGAGAGAGAAAGAGAGATTGGGGAGAAAATGGCGAAGAGAATGTCTGGGTTAATTCTGAAAGAGAATTAGCACAATCAGCCTTTGTTTTATCTAAAACTTGTGCTCATATGAAGTCATGAGCGAATACTTTCTCTGCCTTACTGTTTTACTGGCACAGTTATTTTATTCAGTGCACTGTTAAGGACAGATGACCCAGATTGCAGAGGTAGACAGCATCTTTCTGTTTTATATTTGCACAAATAACATACTGTAAACTACAGTGTCCTCGAGATTTACTGGTGTAGTGAGAAAAAAGGAGATGAGCAAAAAGGCTATGAAAATGCACCCCTGCATTCACCCTGTCATAGCAAGAAAAACCACTGATTTTCTCACATAATTCGGGTCCAACCAAAGTTCTGGTACGATATAATAACTCCAGGTGCCAACCTTTGCTTTTTCATAATAGCAGAAACTTCTAGCAAGCCTCTAAAATAGTTTGTTGGCTTGAAGGTGCCATCTTGGATATTGTATTATGGAAGTAAGGCAGTTTTGCCTCTCTATCCCACTGCATGTGGGGGCATAAAACATTTGTCCTACTTCCATAATATAATATCCAAGGTCTGAGTACTTAATTAGTATTTTAAATATTTTTAATTATTATTTTTAAATATTGTTTATTATATACTGGCACTCCGGTAAACAAGAGCAAAACTGAAAAAAACATTCTTTATTGCTTATCTTCTTATCTTGCTTTCAAACTATAAAAAAATCTAACCTTTATTTGAAGTACAGTGATTGAAGGAAAAACCTAAATGTTATCATTACATATTTTTCTTAAATCTGTGTGTGATACAATTGTCAGCATCCTTATAAATTCTTATGAGTAGAAACCAACTATGGTCAGCTATGACTTCCTGTTTCACAGGGTCATGAGGTGATACACAGGGCAAATTTACTTAGTCATCTATCACTATGAGAAAGATCAGAGAATACAGTAGTGATGTACAACAAAAGGTTGTTGAGCTGCACAAATTTAGAAAATGGCTACAAGAAAATAGCAGTTGTGATGTGGATTTCCACTATCAGGGCAATAATTAAGAAGTTAAAGCAACTGGAGATGTTAGGAATTTGCTGTGAAGATGTATGTCAAAACTGACCCCAAGCATGGTAAATAGGATGATTTGATTGGCCAAAGAAGCTCCAAGGATCACAGCTGTGGAATTGCAGACATTAGTTAGGGCTTGGGGTTGTAACATCTTCCAAATTGCAATCAGACACCAGCTAGTTTGCCAGATGTTACTGGAACTTTCAGTGTTACCGTGTTCTATGGTCAGACCAAAATAGAGCTTTTTGGCAACAAATACTGGAGGTGAGTTCGGCATAGACATGAAGATAGTCATGCAACAAAGTACCTTACCTATGAAGTATGGTGGTGGATATGTGTTGCTGTTGTTCGGATACATGGTACCAAGGACTTCATCATGTACCAGCAAATATTGAATCAAAACCTGACTGCCTCAGCCAGGAAGCTTAAACTAGGCCATGGTTGGATCTTGCAGCAGGACAGTGATCCAAAGCGCACCTCAAAATCAACAAAGAAATGGTTCACTAACTACAGAGTCATGGTTTTGCCATAGTTATCCCAGTCCCCTGACCTAATCCCATAGAAAACCTGTGGGACGAGCTGAAGAGGAAAATCTGAAGGATGTTGAGAGACTCTGTATTGAGGAATGGTCTCAGATCCCTTGTTCTCTAGCCTTATTAAGCATAATAAGAGATGACTCAGTGCTGTTATCTTTGCATAGGGAGGCTGCACAAAGTATTAAATGAAAGGGTGCCAACAATTGTGGCTTACAGATTTGAGAAAAAACTATATTTTTGAGGGCACTGTAATCTCATTTCGTTTAAGTATTATTTAAAGACATATCCTTTTATGTTAATGTTCATGTAAGAAATTTGAAATAAATACAATTTCATACAAACCTTTACACTGACAGTAAATTCACATTTATTTATCTGTAGTGTCATACTGATCTTGAATAATTTTTACTTGCCACTGCTTTAGCTTTATATTTAAAGTAATGAGAATATTGCCAGCAGAGGGAGATATTTTAGGTATAATTACACACTATTAAAGTTCTTTCTCATCTCATCTCATCTCATCTCATTGTTTCAGGTTTTGACAGAACTGAAGTCAGATAACCAGCGACTAAAGGACGAGAATGGGGCCTTAATCCGAGTCATCAGCAAACTCTCCAAGTGAGGTCAGGCCATGCGTAGGATACACACCAAGAGACTGGCTGAGCAGCACCTCATGTTATTTCTGCCGTTTACACCCACTTTCTACCTTCTGAACTTAAATGACCATTTACACTAGATAATGGTTTCAAGCTCTTTCTTTCTCTCTCTCTGGCTGTTGGTCCAAACTTGTCTTGAATGGAGGGATATTGCAAAGGTAGAGACCAACGTCAGATGAACTACCTTACTGATAAGATTCCCCAAAATGTTCCCGTATAAAAGACTGGCTTTGATCAACAATTTTTTGTAGTGGATTTTTGAGATCAGTTGTACGCAACTGTAGATGCCCTTCTGGAGAATCATATAGTGCAAGCTTTTTTCAGCTCAGTCACACCGTATACATGAGAAAACTAAGTGAGACATTACACCATTTCCAAGGATGAGCTCCATTGCTAAATGGGAAGTATAGTCACTGTAATATCTACCTGTATATGGAACTTTGATGTATAGGATTTTAAAACCTTTTTTTTTTTGTCTACTCCTTGTTCATGTGTAATTTTGGGGAGGCCAAGAGAGATAGATAGAAGAGTTACCTGCTAACTTTGTTCAATGTTTTGTGGTTTTTTTGTTTGTTTCAAATATTTATGTTTATTGTTTATCTAAAAGAGATCTAAAATATTGGGTATTTATCAAGCTAAAGTTAAAAAAGAAAAAAAGTTTTCATAATTGCATTACAAGTTTAAAGTGATATAATTTTAAAGCTCACAGCACTTTGTTTTTAAGCTTGTTTATGGCACAGATATATTTATCATAATGCACTGTAAAACACTAAATGGGAAGTGGATTTATGTAGCACATGTACTGCTGCCATCTGCTTTTGTTGTGTGTTCTGGAATGAGAGAAGCTTAGGTTTCTAGAATTCTTAAGAAGGAAAAGAAGGAAATGAAGGAAAACTACCTGTGCTCATACCACAATATTGGTGTTAAAATAATGAAAAAAAAACAGCACCAGTCAGAGGTTTGCACACATCTATTATATTTTCACTGTTCATTTTATCTTCGAAAGACATCAAGATTTTTTGCAAATATTCGTTCTTTTATGTCTATTTCCTCTTCTCAGTAATGGCTTATTGATAGCTACACCTCCTTTTACACCCATAGTTGAATTCTCACTTGGGAAGGATGGAACACCTGTGGAGTACTATTTATAACAGTTTTAGTGGTCCCTGAGATCTTGCAGGCTTGTTAGGAGTTCCATTTCCTTTACATGTTTTAATCATTTTTGAGCTCCAGTTTCAGGAACTGTTTTTCTCTACTTATTTGTCCTTTGACTTTTCCCCTTCTTATGCAAGTGGAATATCTGATATCTAAATCTCCTCTGACATATCTTCTGAAAAATGAATAACTTTTACTTAATGGCTTTTTTGACTAAAGATGAAGTATAATTAATTAAACATAATGAAACAAAAGTCTTTATATTGAAATGTTTTAAAATATGAGAAACATACATCCACCCAGGTGTCCACACTTGTGATTGTACAGATTAGCATCGGTATTTCCCATATTACATTACTTAATCAATCACTTGTCAGTAAGCCATTACTCAGTTATGGACATGTAGTTGTGCCATACTAAGGATTGTTTTTATTAAAGTACTTTCAGTTTCACTGATTTTGGTTTAACATAGAAGAAAGAAGTGAGAAAGCAAAAGTTAATAACAACAATATGAAAACAGATTATAGCAACCATGTTTAGTCTTTTGTTTTACATTTATCTGTGGATTCACATTCAGAGAAACAGGACAAATGTAAGTGTAATCTGGGGGAAAATGAATTTGATGAATTAGATTAAATGAACAAAACAAGCACAGTGTGCAGGTAGTATGCTGTAATCTCATAATATAAAAACCCTTGTTGGAAGAACAAATGGAAGATCAATACATATACAATTTAAAACAAAAAAAGCAGAGATGAATAATTTTAATTAAAAGTCTTTTATTTTTTTTACCTTGTACAGAGCTGCTAACACATATGATAAATCTGTATCGAGATATTTGGTTCCCGTGAGGTCTTTACAAGGATCAATGATGTTCTTGTACTGTCCGCCAGGGTGTCATGGGAAAGTCTGTGAGCAATATATTTTCTTTTTTTTCGTTGCTAAGTGTCTTATCAAGGGCTAAAGCATGCGACTGGTCCACACTAGGCACAATGCTACGGACATGAACACACACACAAAACACTGAGACGAGAACAAACGTAGCCTGAGGACATAACTTCGCAGCCTCCTGATTCAAGGAGCAGAACACCATAGAGAGAGAGAACAAAGAAAACCAAGAGGGAGTTTTCATTTTGATAACAGATCTACAGGAAAGGCAGATGATGGAAAGTGCTGTAAGGGAGTTTGACCGATTGACAGTTGTTTCCTTCCCAAAAATTTTGATTTGATATTTCACATTAAAAATAAAAACCTTACACAGTAACCTCTGTTGAACTGTTGACATTTCATTTCTGGCCATGCAATAGCCAGAAATTTGCTTCCATTTGGTAACAAGAGAATGTAAGAAGGGTTAGAACGTCTCAGTTATGGAGGAGTCTCTCATTTTTCTTTAAGACAAAACAAGATCTACAGAGGACAACAAAGCAAAAGCAAGCTGAACAAATAGCTGAGAGTAAATTACAAATACCCCTCACATGCCCTGACTTTTTTCACATTTTTGAAAGAAAAATAACTCAGAAACAAAAATTCAAACATGTTTTTTCTGTTCCTTACTATTGCTCTCAAATATTTTTGCTTGTACAAGTTTGGAGTACCAACTCTCAGTGAGTGACATCTAGGAATGTTCCTAATCATTGTACATTGTGCATGCAGCCATATAGGCAGATGGCAGTGCTCAGTTCACAAAAAAAGGGAAATTAAAAGTTTAAGTTAAAGGGCCTATGCATTATTGTTGATGGATACATACACTAGACAAACGTCTGATATGCCAGTTGAGGGTATTTGGGAAGAATATGCATATTGAATAATTCCCCAAAAAGTAAAAAGTAAAAGTGCCCATACTGGTTAATTCATTTCAAAATGATAAATATTTGTATGTTGAAACAGTCCTCATGAACAGCCTCTACCCACAAACGATGCATGCTTATCATAAACAAGAACTAAATTGCACACCAGTTATGTGTTTTTGAACATATATTATTTGTAAAGTAATTGTTCACTTTTTGTGCAGTACACAGATGCACAGGTGTATTTGCAGTCATTCTTGTACTTTCATAGCAGACTTTGTGTCAAATCAAGGCAGTTGCAAATAAACAAACCATAAAAACAAACAAACAGAATCATTTGATTGAAACATTCTAATACATAAAAATGTTCCTAAAAACAAAAGAATATACACATCAGTAAGAGAGACTGGCTATTGCAGGTTAAACTACTGTTGCCACTAAAAATAGCACATTTTCAGGTAACAGTGTTACCCCATAGCTTCACAGACTCAGTGGAATGTTGAGGAGATACATAGGCCTACATGAAGGAGACATTAAAATTACTTTAAGAATTTAATCTACATAGCTGAGCTCCAAAGAATTAGTGCTCAAGTCTTATGGCTTTATTTTATTCACACCCACACCCACACACACACTGTTATTGGCTAGTTAAATGCTGTAATGAAGTAAAATGTGGCTATAGCATTATTGTGAAATAAGCCATTTTATTAACATAAATTTAAAGAAGGGGACCCCAAGTTGTACCTTTTTTTCCCAAAACGCAATGATACTATTGTGCTAAGGCAAGTTTCTTGCCACTGTGAAAACTCGTTCAGTTTAGTCCAAAAAAATCACGTTAAAATGACAAAGTCAGATAAAATGGCAGTACACGTGACTTCTTTTATTGGCACTGATGAAAATTAGCATAGGAATCGGTCCTGATCAGAACATCAAATACTTTATCATCCAGATCCCCACACTACACTTGAATGTTCCCAAGTGATGGAAAAATCATATGAATTGGACTTGGAGCCCCCATGGAAGTTTTTACTTCCACAAACACATTTAAAAAACAAGACCAAATATTACGCTGCAAAGTGAAAATCAACTTGTAGTTTGATAAATACAGTTTACCTGTTAAAAATGTCGCAAGTAGACGTCAAGCATGCGGCTACATTTTCATCCTCTAATAGTTCACACAAAGCACTGAACATTTTTGCTCATGATGGCTAGGGATGGGCACATTGTGAATATGAAGACTAGTTTAGTACAGTTCACATTCTCTCAATACCCACTCATGGAAAATACATATTTACTTCAGTTAGAAAATATACAGAGTATCTTTTCCCTTCCCTTTTTGTTATTAAAATGACAAATAACACCTACTTACATACACAATATATTTTTGCTTTGTCTCTGAAACATGCTCATCTTTTTATTGAAACATGCAGTATCATTAAGTAGGAACTATGCATATATAGGCAAAACTACACACCAATTGTCGGGGGGTGAGGGGTGTTCGCTGCATTTCATTGGTATTTTCAGAACTAAGAATGGTAAATCTGAAGAGACACATATTAGTGACATATTAAATAAGGAATTGAAATATTGGTTGCCATATGGGTCATAGTGGAAGAACAAATGAATGAATACGTAAACAAAAACACTCATTCAGACTCCCAAGGAGACATAAACTGCACTCAGACTGCACTGTAAATGTGTCAGATGTAAATACCTGCTATTTCAGTCTAACAATATTATTGCAATAGAGTATAGCTCAGCAAAAGAGCTTTTTGTTAATTTCGTGAAGGTTGGCTTACAGTGTTTCAAGTGTACAAAACTTCAAAAAATCCTAGTCTGAAACCTGCTAATTCAGAATCTAACGATGGGTCTCTAAACATAATATCTGGCCAGGTTTTAGACCTAAAAACATTACATTAAAATATTTTCAATATTCTAGCTTGTAGTTATAATTGAAATTCCCAGTTGGTATATAGTTTTAAAAAGTTGCCATGAAGTAGTTAATCCATACCACACATGTAAAGTAGGCAGTATGGTGTGTTTTAGGCGCCCAAGGAATAGTCACATTTATTTAACTTGTGAAATGCTTCTATTCAGTGGGAGAGATCCATAGTCTCATAATAATTAGTCCAGCATTCCAATAATACATGTTCTCAGTTTTTAAAAACATAAAATCCGCAAAACCAGATGACTTGAATAAAAGATGCACCACCACATAAGTCGACAGATTGAACTACATAACCAAGACCCACAGAATATAGCTATATCCAGTAGTGCAAATAGTTTTAGCAGTTTGGTAAGCTGTGTATAAAATACACATATAACAGTACCCACTTTCAGACCCTTTCATTTCATTTCAAACCATAAGAAATGATGGTTATAGAACAAAATAATGCATAAAATGAGGAAACCATCACATATCCACACTGAATTATGCTAACTGGGTCCAAAATATTAAAATGCCATAAAAAATAATTAATAAAACAGACTACAAGCACTATTGCATGCATTAATGAAACAAACTAATCTGATCAATAAGATAAGCACTCTTTCACAGCATAAAAAACAGTGTACTCATCAAAATTCTGGAAAAAAAAGAATCAAGAAGTAAGAGCATTCTTGAGTCATTTAACAGTAAATGAAAAAGCAAAATGTTTTCCATTTAAAGTGCTCAAGCAGAACAAATGTGTTTAATGTACGAAAAACAAATGGATGGATTTAATAGGAAGGCGTCCCTGGCAGTCAAGAATTGCTTATTTTGTGATGTTCAAAGGCTTGTATCCTTTTTGTTAGAAAGACAGACACAGGACTTGTTAGGAGACCGTGGAAAGGTCCAGCACTCTAGGAACTGATGGAGCACACTTGTTGAGGTGATAGATTGCAGGCAGTAATGTTGACACCCAACAGACTTCTTTTCAGTTAGAGGCATCCAGTCCAAATACTAACCCCGTTAAAAATTATCCAAATTTCATAACAAACCATCCTCCCAGACACAACATGTACGATTTAACAAAAGATATGTGTTTCATTTTATTCTTATTACTAAAGAAGACTGTGACAATATGATGGAGGTGGCAGATTGGGTATCTTTGTGATCCTTGGATTGATATTTGATCTTATCAAATATAGTTTATTACAGGACATTGTGATCTATAAGCTAAGTCTCTCTAAGAAGATGATGATAATAGTTTTATACCTCCTTGCATTTCACTTCTGAGGTTTAGGATGTCTTATCTTCACATATATTTTATTTATCTTGATTTTACATCTCATCTCATTTTTGAAAAGGATTAACTGTTGAAATGGAAACCTTTTTTTGGCATTTTTTCTTTTTTTTTGTCTGATCTCCTTGTGTATCATGCAGTGCTGGTTGGATGGATGGAAAATATGCAAAACATACTGAGTGGGTGAAAGGGGAGGAGAGAGAAAGTGGAAAGGTGGCAGTGTGCGTGGGTAAATGGAAGATTTACTTCTTGGCAGTGAGGCCTGCTAGCTCAGCGTCCACTTCCTCTTCGTGCCTGAGAGGATGCCACTGGGCGATTGGCCGTCGTGGGTTGGCGATCATGTCTGACCAGTGCCTGAGCGCTGTTCCCTGCGCTTTGCTGCCCACCCAGATTTTACCGATGGCATCGTTCTTGCCAATCTTGTCATAGTCCAGCACTGTGATCACGGCTTGGATTTTCTGCGAATAAAGAGAGCTGTTAGTCATCACAACACAATGCACGGACACTGTTAGCCCAGAGTTCCTGCCCCAAATCTTTTTGGACCAATGCTGCATATTTTAATAAATAGTTAAAGTTCAACTTAACAAATAAATTAAGTTTCATCAGAAGATGTTTTTCACACACTACAAATGACAGTCACATAATGTGCTACTTGCATAGACTTCAATAAGACCTTAATAAAGATAGTTCTCCATCAGTAAGGAGCTGAGTTAAAAGGGGGATTAGCTTGCTGTGGATGTGATCTCCAATAATATTTAGTATATTATAATATTTATATATTATATTTATTTATAATATTTGAGTATCAGCAGGCTAATCAAAAAAGAAAAATGGAACTGCACATTATACAGTTGTATGCAAAAATTTGAGCATCCCTCGTCAAAAAACAGATTTTGCAAGTAAAAAAAAGTACAGATGACACACTTTTTAATGCTCAATTACTGTTTATTTGCTAAATTTAACATATTGTGTCCTGTGTAAAAGTTATTGTGTATATGGTGCATTTTCAGTATGCTAAACTAGAAACTGTGCCCCAAAATGCACAGAAAACACATAAATTAGTTTGCCTATGTTAAGCATGTGTTAATTTTAAGTAATTTTAAGTTTATTTTCACTTAAAATCATCTACAAGAAAATTTAATTTAACCATGGGTATTCAAACTTTTGCATACCACTGTAATAGGGAAGACACAACATAAATATATTCTTTAATGTTGGAGGAATCCATTATTTATGTTATCAAATGTAGCAAAGATAATAACAGGCAATAATAACTTGAATTGTATAGCTTATTTTGCTTATAGATTATTAAAAATCTATATTGATTAAAATACTTTACACTTACAGATCATAGGTGTGCACTTAACATGACATTTTAATCCCATGCACTGAACCATGCAACAGTCCTGACAGCTTAGCACTAAGAAACACTTTTAAAAATGGTTTTACAGTACAACTACAGAGACCTAAAGAAATCATCAACATGTTGTAGTTCAAAAACAATTTTCCAAACACAAAATCTCAAACACCAATCTCAAAATCATGATGTTTGGAAATAATAAAAAAAAAAGTCAACATCTGTGCGCTGGTCTTGCTTACCTGCATCTGGTCCTGTGGGATCTCAAAACTGAAGGACTCATTGTAGTAAGGATTTAGTGTGTTCTTCTTCACTGTGGTCTTCTTCTTCTTCAGCCGCTTGCCGTTTTGCAGCAGGTGGATCTTCACATAAGGATCTGCAACCATTCAGAAGGTAAACTGAGACAAATATCTTTAATTCACATTACAATTTTTTGTCAACATTCATATTGTAGACACTATAGAATCTCAAGACCGAACTCAAGGTAAAGTGTCACATAAAAGGCAGTGTGTCAAACTAATTAAATTAAGCTAATTCACTGATCTTTTGCAGCTGATCTAGGATGAAAGAAACCGGCTAGTAATAGACCACAGGATTTCATGAACTATTTCTGTTCGCAGAGCTGCCAGCAGATGGCAGTGATGAAGCCTGACTGGAAGGCATATATGGTGCTGTGAGAAAATGAGAAGACTGCAGAGTCAGCACATGAGCATTACTTCTGCATGACTGATGCAGGCACTGAGGTGGCATGAACACACTGCACCATCTCTGTTTGCTTGGCTGTACACACGACACATTTCTTAGATAGCTCAACATTTGGACAGTATGTTAAAAAAGTGACTTTTGTAAATGAAAAAGGTGAAATGATGCACGCTTTGTACTGGCTGTATTTTCATCACAACTTTTATTATTATGCTTGAGTTGAATACTTAAGCAGTCAACAAATTTGATTCTACTAACTTCATTTTCACCCACTCTCTGGAGATAGAAAGACAAAAGGCCCTTTTTATGTGTGTGTGTGTTTGTACCTGACAGGCCTCCCACGTCCATCTTCTTTAGGTTTTTAGCCTCCAGGATACAGATGGTAAGTTTCCCAGCAGTGGGCACATAGCGCAGAGAGACGCAAATATCACCAAGTCGCTCAGGCTGTGTTTGGTTTTGAAACAGAATAAGAAAGGATGAGCCATTGTTAAGGATCAGTGCACTGAGATGCCAGTTTATTAGGTACACTTATCTTGTGGCATATTTTTTGCCTCGTTTGTCCTTTGACACTCAGAACAGCATAAATTTATCTGGGCGTTGATTCTGTAAGATGCTGGATGCATTGTGAATTTTGCACCATGTGGAAATAATCGCATTATGCAGTTGCTGCAGTGTTGCTGCAAACAGTTCTTTGACCTTATCCCAAACATTCTTAATAGGGATTCTGTGACTGTGCTGGCTACTGAAGCAATAAAAACAGTTGCTGTCATGTTCCTGGAATCATATTGGAAGTGACAGGCTGGCAGGTATTCAAATGTTCTGATACGCAGTGCCATTCAGACCTTCTTTGTTAGTTAACAGGGGCTCTAAATGTGTGCCAAAAAACATTCGCCTCACCTCACCTCAACCTTACCTGCATTAACTGACCCTCCTGATGCTGCTGCTGCTGCACAGACTCTAACAATTTAATCATAGCCATTGACTCACCTGCTTTCCCCCTTTTCTGTATTTTAATATTTTATGCAAATGTTAAAACCTTATTCTCTGTTCATATTGCTCTTTTGTTATGGTTTGCTGTATGGTGTCGACCAGAAGATGATGAGTTCCCCTTTTGAGTCTTGGTTCCTCCCAAGGTTTCTTCCTCTTGCTCTTAGGGAGTTTTTCCTTGCCACTGTCGCCATTGGTTTGCTCATGGGGGCATGAACCCAAACTTTTTTGTAAAGCTGCTTTATGGCAATGCCTGTTGTAAAAAGCACTATATAAATAAACTTTGACCTTGACATTCACACTGCCACCACCAATATGGCTCCATAGACTCATGTTGTTTATGCCAAATTCTAATCTTTACATCAGCATGATGCAAAAGAAACCTGGATTTGTCCAACTAGGAATGGTCCGCTTTGAATGCTCCTAAAGCCCCCTGGAGAGGTTTTTTGCTCTTTGCTGCTCTTTTTCTGCACAGCAGTGTTGAATTTGAAGTTGATATGCATGCACAGTTCTCACCATTCTTCTTTGATCCCCCTAATTAACAAGGTGTATTGATCTGTAGGATTGCCAGTCACTGGGAGTTTTTAGCTTTTTTCACACCATTCACAGTACACCTTTAAAAGTTGTATATGGAAAAAGCCCAGGATGGCAGCCATGGGAGATGCAAGAGCCGGCATGCCTAACGGCAATTTTCATGTCATGAACATCACTCATTTTGCTCATTCCAATGAATTACTGATCCCCAACTGAAGCCTGGAAAAAATAGTCTTCACTGTCAAGTTGACATATCAGGTGACACTAATTTTCTTCTGACATTTGGTTGTGTCTTGACACTTTCTGTGGTTAAATGACAGACTTTGTAGCTCAGTGTATGTCACAGTGACATAATGCTGACAATATGATATAGCTTGCCAAGTCAGTCTTGTTCAACAAAAGTAAACATTTTCTGTGGTCCTTAGGGTTCAGTTTACCATCTATAAGATGTAAGCAATGTCATCAGCATTATGTCACTGCATGTACACTAAGCTACAAAGTCAGCTACATTAACGTGATATGTCATTGTACCCAAACTTGTCATGACACATCCCAAAGTCAGAAAAAAAACGATGTTACTTAACATAGAGTGGGGTCCAAAAGTCTGAGACCACATTGAAAATGTAAACCTGGTAATAAATAACAGAAAAATGTAGAATTTTGAAAAAATATTCACAATGAAGCACTATTTCTAATTTGCGATATTAACCACGATAAGGCCTTTGCACAAAAACGTCAGATGTTTTTTAGTCTTATTCCTTCTGTTGAAGCACGTGTTCACATGGATTTGATCCACTCATCAGAGGCTTTTGTCAGTGTTAGCGATCAGAGTCTGCGCTTGCTTGAGTGCATGCTGTCATTAAAGCAAAAGGGGGACAAATACTAAGAAATTCTGAAATTCTTTTTTTTTTTTTATTTCACTCAGATTGTTATGCTAATAAAATAAATAGTAATGAAAAACTTTGTATTATTTTAGAGCAGAATGCAAAATAAAAGCACAACTGATCTCAGACTTTTGGACCCAAGTGTAGGTATTATGTTAATTTGGCATCAAAGTTGACAAAAGCAGCCTTTATGGTAGACAACACCTACTGGAATAAGCCTTTATACATGTTGTTGTCATTTGTCAGTCTTGCAGCCTTATGAACACTACCATATAGTAACACAGGATGAAAAAAAGGCTATCCTGGACACCCAATGAAAGCTCAGCCAATTGAGCCATCACAGACTTCTGGTCAGCAATAGGACCTGACTATGAAACAGAACTAGTCTTACCTGACTGTCCTAACTAAACTTTCTATGCTCATGTAGACAGCTTCCAAACATAGCTTATTGTTGTTTTACTCAACCTTTTAAACAATAATCCTCTGCAAAAACCTGTTTTAATACTAATAATGTTTTAAGTGAAATCATCATTTAGAATGCATGCTAAGCATTTTTAGTCAAATTACTGTTCCAGGACTGTTAAGCTGAATGCTGAATGTGGCTTACCTCCTCTTTCTCAGCACTGTCTAGGTCCCTCCACTGCTCAATGGGTTGGGCCAGATCCAGTGTATTCATGGGGATCTTCACCTCACCAATCACATCATGCTTGGAAAATCGGTCGAAGTCATAAACAGACATGACCAGCGTCTTTCCACCCATCTCTTGGAAGGGAATCTGAAGGGAATTAGATGTGACACACTATTATGTAAAAACCTTGTAAAAAAAGGTGTGCATTTTGTTTTGATTGTGGAGCGAGAACAATTATTGTAAATCTGAGCTTACATATTGGTATTCAATTTGCTCATGAGTCGGACTGTCACACTAAACTGATAATCAAAACAAAGTACTAATCACATAATCCCAGTTACACAGTACAGTTGGAAGACTTACGTTGCAATAATTCCCTGCCATCAGCATTGGTAATGAAATACCGAATGTTCCAATTTTTAAAAAAGATAGCATTTTAAATTATGCTTTTCATATGTGAATGAAAATGGCTGCCTCAGATGCATCTGAATGCTGGCAGAGAAGGTCTTTGCTGGAGTGCTGAATTTCCATATGAGAGGAAGCAGCTTAAGGTGAGTTACACAGAATGCCCTTCATGGACTTAAATTACTTTTCCTTTCAAATACCCAGCTGACACTGCACTAGTGAAGAGCTGTTCTTTGGTTTTTCAGACCATTTAAGCAGGGCTGGGATGTACTTCTTGAGGTTGAAGCACATGTTTGAAGTATTATTTAAAATGCTCTAACTTTGCTTCTTAACAGGCAATGAGAACCTATAGAGGATGGCACATTCTCTATTTACATAGCTTTGTTTGCTGCATTAAGGACTGAAGAAAAATTTAGAAATCAAAATTAGGGACAGCTTTGTCTTGGGGTCCTGTTTACACAAATGCCAGAAAGTGCTGGTGTTACTGAATATGGCTTAATGTAAAAGAAATTCATTAAAGTCAGTCAATGAGATGTTTTCTGATGATGTGCTGAAATATACACTCACTGAAAGTTTATCTCACCTTAAAACTGAACGTCTCATTGAAGACAGGATTCAGAGTCTTCTTGTGCACTTTGGTATCAAACTTTTTCTTCTTATCAGGGAGAATGTATACCTTGACGTAAGGGTCAGAGGTACCTCCACTGTCCATGGAGAGAAGATCTGCAGCTTGCAGAATACCTACTGTCAGCTGTGAATGAAAAGATGATCTGTTCTTAATGGAGAGTCACAATTAATGGAGCTTAATTTAGGGCTAAGCCTTTTGAGACTTCTTAGTATTCTTAGTATTACTAAATAAACAATAATCTGACCTTGTTGTCAGAGAAGTCATAATCCAACGAGAACTGCAGTTTGCCAAGCTTCTCCTTCTCTTTGGGTTCCTCCTCCTCTTTCTCATCGCCAGTCATCCCTGTCTCAATGTCATCTTCATCATCATCATCATCCTGTTTCTGTAGAGACAAAAGGGGGAGAGGATTTGCAAGAGGAGTTATTGCTTAGGGTTATGGTTTGTCAACAAGTTAGTGTCACTGAATCCAAACATAGGTCATTAAGTCAGTCATGGGACCTACCTGGCAGTTTCTCAGCTTACCTGAAGTATGCCAGGGGTCAAACCACCCACGCATTACTATATGCAACTGTGTCAGCGATGACACTGGTAGCAACATGACTTGATTTCACTTTTCCTTTCATGACACCATTTTGCAATAATCTACATTTTCTGTGGAATGCAATTGAAAAACAGAAAAGAACAATGTATTGTCTACAAAATGGAAGATCTCTGCCAAAACCGATTCCTTTATTGTTTGTGGTCAATCTGATCAACAGAGATATTTATAGAAAATGGCTTGAGGTAACTGACAAATGTACAAGGATTAAAGACAAATACATGCAGCATAAAAGCCACTAATTTTTCCACATCACTTTCACATAATCTCTTTGATTTCACTGACCTAAATATCATCTTTTTGCACACTTTTAATCACAATGAAAAAAAAAACACAGTAAGCTTGATTAATAGTTAATGTTATTAAGTCCACTTGTGATTAAATCTTAAATAATATCTTAATCTGATCTGCATGTAACAGCTGTAATGAAAAATATCTTTATCAAGCACCTTTATATTTTGCACATCCTTCATTGTCTTCCACTAGATGGATTGATCATTTCCTTTTTCTGACCAAAACCTTGAAATTACATTTTTCTCATTTTAATTTAAAGGAATCATATTTTACCTGTCTTCTAGTTTCACTAGCGTTATAAGAAGTGATATCATGTTGCTGGTATAAATCAAAGGTTTAATGGTGGCAAATCCTACCTTATCAAATCTCAGCTATTATTTGACTCACAAGAAGGAATTTAAAATAGGATTGTATTTAAAAGAGGTGTAACTGTTAATGCTTGAAATATTTGTATCAATATCTGTAATCAGAATTGAAGAAGAACTCACTGTGTTAGCTGTAGTGAGCGTGGTAATGAATGTGATTCATGCTTCTAGTAGATTTAATTATTAATTTGTTCAAAGACATACATAACATTTTAATTTGTTGTACGTAACCTAAAAATGTACAAATTCTGAGATGAGAGACTCAGAGATGTAGTGCCTTCTGGGAAATGTTAAAATTAAATCTTATTATACTCAATAAACCTATGAATTAAGGTGTAGGTCTATTTTTTTCAGTGAGTAGCTTACTCTAGCAGATAAATATAGGAACTAAGTTTTGGTAATTTATTTGGTCACATTAGGCTATTGGAGAAAAAGACTAACTGTAATAATAGTAATCATGTGCAAGCAGAAAGAGTTTGTGGTGTATCTTGTGTTGTCTTTTGCGCCATAACTTAGATCTACTACACTATATGGCCAAAAGTATGGGGACAGTTTTAAAGTCAGTTTATGAAATTTCTGCACTGCTAGATCTGCCCCGGTCAACTGTACATGCAAGCCTAAGATTACTATGCACAGTGGAGTGTTGTAAAGCATGCAGCCACAGGACTCTGGAGCACTAAAATGTGTTCTCTGGAGTGATGATTCATGATTTACTTTCTGGGTTTGGTAGATTCCAGGAGAATGCTGCCTACTAGAATGCACAGTGCCAACAGCAAAGTTTGGTGGAGGAGGGATAATGGTCCGGGGCAGATTTTCAGGGTTTGGACACGACCCCTTAGTTCCAGTGATGGGTAATGTTAAGGGTAAAGCATACCAGACATTTTACACAATTATATGCTTCCAACTTTGTGGCAACAGTTTGGGGACGGCTCTTTCCTGTTCCTGCATGACTGCGCCCCTGTGCACAAACAGAGGTCCATGGTTTTGTGAGTTTGGCGTGGAGGAACTCCTGTGGCCTGCACAGAGCCCTGACTTCAACCCCAATGAACACCTTTGGGATGAATTGGACTGTTGATTGCAAGTCAAGTCTTCTCGTCCAACATCAGTGCCTGAACTCACAAATGCTGTTTTGACTGAATGGGCACAATTTTCCAAAGACACACTCTAGAACCTTGTGAAAATGATGAATGGAGGCTGTTATAGCCACAAACTCCATATTAATACCCATGGTTTCAGAATGGGAAGTCCAACAAGCTCATATAGATGTGATCAGGGTCAAGTGTGTATGGGCATACCTTAGGCCATATAGTGTACATTGCAAGTAGCTTACTTAATATTCTCTGATGTCTGGGTAAAGACTTGAACAAAACTGGTGAGATCCAGTGATGGTCCGTACAAAAAGACAAACGAACCACAATTCTCAAATCATCATATTAAATCAATAAATGAAATTGATAAGTAATTTGGAATAAACTGAATAAGCATACATATAAGTTATCATTAGTCAGTATACTTAAACAGCATGATAAAAATTGAGTACATGGCATGCATGTGTGCATGCCCTCAACTACACCACTGGTTACATTTTTTAGATCTGCTTTTTCAGAAGGAGATTTTGATGGTAGTTTGTGCAGGCTGAAGATGGTGAGGAAATACATAACAAAGTAAAACCAAGGACAAAGTTAAAAAGTCTAAAAGCTACTTTAGAACCGCATATTTTTAAAATGGCAGTCTAATGACAACATTATTATTAGAGCACCTATTGGAAGTCTTTTCAACTTCATAGTCATGTTAGTGTTCCCAGGGCATAGCAAAGTTATTTTTTATGTAAAACATACATGTAATATTACAAAAATACATACTTTTTGAAAGCTTGAGGAAGAAAAAAAAGGTCAATTCAGAATGTTTCTAAATATAACATGCTTAGATAGGAATCACTCTCACTCACATATTCAGCCACACACCCTCTGAAATACCCATGCCCCTCACACAAACACACACACACACACACACACACACACACACTCCATTTCATAGTACCTTTAACAGGTGCCATAAATGCTTTACATTCGTGCATGCCAAGCCACAAAATGCAAAAAACTGGGAATAAACTTCACTGTTTGCATCTAACAATGGCAGCAGAAAATCTCTATGATTCATGATGTATCAAGGATTAATGCATTTTTTAACATGAAATGTGCTGGCCAAACAGAGAGAGCTTGGCATTGCTTTCGAGAACTTGAGAAGTGGCTAGCATTAAGCATCCAAACACAGTCATGCTGCTTGAAAATCCCAGTACATACCATCCAGGATTGCAAAGGGGGCAGATGAACTAAGAAATGGTGAGGAAGAAATCATACAATCATAACATACGGCTGAAAGTGTCCTTTTTTTTACTATAGACAATACGGAAAGTTAAACCTGTTGGGGGTTGACCAGATTATCATGTCACAATGCCAAAGGGTGTTTGCTAGTTCAGTAACTGCTTTACAGTTTACAAAGAGGATCAGATTTCAAAAGATCAGAAGTTTTGTGGTTCAGCTGGCTCAAGACTGAAACTACCGCTCAGTTCACAGCCCCAACAAAGACAATGATCTGTCCTGCTACATTTCTCTAAAAGCAAACCATGGCCCAAACTGCTATTAGTTTTTAAAAAACTGAATGTAAAACTGCCAAAAAATTATAGCACAATGTTTTGATTAGCTTATCCATCATTATTTTGGGTAGTGAATTTTGCAGCAAATTTGAGACTGAACCAGATTGTATCCACACGGATGAAAAAAAACAAAAATCATAGAACAAACTAAAATATGTAAAATAGGCATGACGTAAGCCAAAGGCAAAAGGCTTTTTTCCACCCCACCATAAACTATCTCTATATTTGAAATGCTCTTTGCGCACAATGGGTCATCCAGAAAAGTTACTCTCAAGTCAAGTTGTGGTCATTCACTGCTACCTCCTTAAAGAGCATCTATTGGGCATTGTCAAGAATACTGCTTCATATCATCTCAGTCTTTCTCCATAAATTCCCTTGTGACATAAATCCCTGATAGAAGACTAAATTAGGAATGTTACAGTGTTAATCTTGTTATACCTCAATTTAGGATATTGAGATCATGCTTGAAGATCTCAAAAAGATGAAGCAGCACTTAACTGACAAGTGACCAAACATACTCTTTAAACATGCATGTTAATGAGGATTGGCGTGTTGCTCCTGTGCAGTCATTCAAACTCTCAGTAAACTGGATGTAATTACAGTTCATAAACAATGCATGTCCACTTTCAAAAGGTCATCACTTTGATTTTCATATGTCAGCTATTTTGTCTTTTACAAAACATAGCAGGTTTTGTGCGGCATATCAAACTGGTGGAATGCGAAGCCCCATCTCCAATTAGCTCCTCAAGCACCCTCAGCACCCCTGAGCTTGCAGAACTAAAGTAGAAGCCATAGCACTCATTCCCATAGCCATCCCCCACCCTCAGGCCTGAATGCCCCCTGCCCTGGTCTGCGCCTTCATCAAGCGTCCAGAGAAGGGCGCTGCAAGCTGTTTCACACCTACCGTGTGAGAAGTCCGCCACAGTCAAGATACACGGAGCAAATATAAGACACAAAGCAGGAGGGATAAAGAGACAGAGAGATGGAGAGAAAGGGACAGATTGAACTCATAACACACAGTAAAGGAGAAATCAGAGCAGTGGAAATTAAGTGACAGTTAATGGACACATAAAAAATTAAAAAATGACACCTCATTTACATAAAACACCAGAAATTGATGTTATACATTTAATACAGAAATTCAAAAGAAAAAAAATCATTTTGACCAGTTGAATTCACAAATGAGAATAACTCAATATTCATAGCGTTTGCAGTCATCAGAAAAATACTTCAAGGCAAACTAATCTTGTACTGATGGCATGTACAAACCACAGTATTTTCTATGGATCATTTATTTTTACATTTTCAATTATTATTCCTGCAAAATTTCCGAGGAAAAAAAGTGTCATTCTTCATATGCATGTGAAGCAAAATAGAAATAAACAATACAAACAGTCTTTTGAAAAACAATCCACCACAACCCAGCAAATGAAACAACAAAGTGGGAAATCTTTCATGTCGCTTTTCTGCTTTATAGGCTACCAGTGACGTACACTACTAAATTATTCATATTCCATGAATATTAAAGACTAAAAATATCTCTCCAGATTACTAACCATCCATTTACGTGACCCAGAAGCTAAATTAAGAATCTATGCATTTGTAAAATTACTTTCTGAAGTAGAGAAGAAGCTTAGCTGTATGTTTTGTGGATTACTTTGGTTGATAAAAAAAAACTCCTTATATGTTCTATAAACAGATACAACACCTACTCTTTTCCATCTAAAAAAATTCTCTTTTCCCATACTGTCCTTGGTTAAATGGCCAAAAAAATATCTGTGCAAGTGTACAAGACACTCGTAAATCTTCAGTACCCCTTATTTTTGTCCATACCTCTCCTCCTTTCATATTCTTCATGCTCATGTCTCCCTTCCCCTTTTTTCCTTTCTTCCCCTTCTTCTTCTTAAGGCAGGTCTTCTTCACAATGCAGAAACAGCAAGTGAGGATGAGCACTACTGCAACAATGGAGATAGCAATAATTGCCCAGGGAGGCACTGAAGAGAGAGAGAGAGAGAGAGAGAGAGAGAGAGAAAGAGATATCATAGGCAGTCAATGTACACTACACTTTCATATACACCAACCATCCACTTCATTAATTACACATCCTTATACGTACATTCTTTGTCCATTTTTACAGCTCCACTTACCATATAGGTGCACTCTGTAGTTCTACCATTACAGACTGAAGTCTAAATGTCTTCTGGATAATTTGTTGGTCCCGTTTCACCCTGTTCCTTAACGGTCAGAATAATACCACAATAGAGCAGGTATTATTTGGGATCATTCTCAGCACTACAGTAACACTGGCATGGTGGTGACATTACTGGGTGTTGCGCTGGTATGAGTGGCTCAGACAGAGCAGTGTTGCTGGAGTTTTAACTTTTTTTAATTTTTACCCGATTTTCTCCCCAATTTAGTCGTCTCCAATTCCACCCGCTAGTTAGGACTCCCCCAATCACACGATGCTATCAACGCTAGGAGGGTGAAGGCTAACGCAGGCTTCCCTCCGAGACCTGCGAAGCCAACCGCCGCTTCTTTTCGAACTGCCGCTCACGCAACGTCACTGGACAGCCGAACGCGCTCGGAGGAAAGCGCCAACCGCCAGATCTGTTACGTCAGCTAACAGACGCCTGCGCTGACTAGCATCGCGCTGAGTGATGGGGGGAGAAGGAGGGGCCAACCCACCAGAGAGAGCGAGGCCAATCGTGCTCTCTCGGACTCCCGGCTACGGATGGCTGTAGCATCACCAGGGATCGAACTCGCGATCTCCTGATGATAGGGCCAACACTTAGACGGTTGCGCCACTCGGGAGCCATTGCTGGAGTTTTTAAACACTCGCTGTCCACTACATTAGAAACATCTACCTTGTTGGTCCTCCTTGTAGATGTAAAGTCAAAGACAATTGTTGCTGCACAGTTTGTTTTAGTCATCCTCTAGTCCAGGGGTACACAACTCTGGTCCTGGAGGGCCAGTGTCCAGCACAGTTTGGAAGTTTCTCCACTCAAACACACCCACTAAACCTGGCAATTAACAGATAAGTGTAATCAGGTGTGTTGGAGCAGGTAAATCACTAAACTCTGCTGGACACTGGCCCTCCAGGACCAGAGTTGTGCACCCCTGCTCTAGTCCTTCATCAGGGGTCCCAGGACGCTGCCCACAGGATGCTGTTGGCTGGATATTTTTGCGGAGTTTAAAACTCCAGCAACACTGCTGTGTCTGAGCCACTTGTACCAGTGCCAACCCAGTAACATGTCTCCACCACGTCAGTGTCACTGTACTGCTTAGAATGTTCCACCACCCAAATAATACCTGCTCTCTGTTGGTCCAATGGGGGCACTGACCATTAAAGGAAAGGGTAAACGCGGGCTAACAAAGTATGGAGAAAAACAGGTGGACTACAATTTGTAATCGTAGAACAACAAAGTGCATCTATATGATAAGTGGATAAGACCAAATGGACAATGTGTGTAGATACCATACTTAATGAATAAAAATAAAATGTCCTGTACGAGCTTATAATGGGAAAGCATATTAACATAAAAATTTGCAAGTGTTCAGCTTAGACTACATTATATCTATCTATCTATCTATATATATATATATATATATATATATATATATATATATATATATACATGTTCTTCATACACAAAATGAAGAGTAGTAACTCAAGTTCATTAGGAAGGCTCTCCCTTAACCAACACTTCCCCTCCCTGTTTTCTTTTCATTCATTCATTTTCAGGCTTCAAGCAACATTCAGTCTTTAAATTTTAGGATTCCATGTCAGCTCACCAAGGGTCTGTTAAAGTTGGGTCAAAATAAGCAAAACAAGCAAAAACTTCAGCTTAATTTATGCAACTATGCAAGCTTTTTTAGCTCTAATTTTTTTAAATCTTGCCCCGTCCAGTTCTGAATTGCATCTGAAATACTGAGTAAGGAAAAAGTGTGAAGGAAATATGATTAGTGCCTTTAAAAAAAACAAAAAAAACAAAAAAAACCCAGAAATGGATTTTTAGTTGTGAAGCCATTTTAAACTCTTAGTGTAGCTGCAAATATTGCATTCAGAAAATCTTCAATAAATATATGAAATCTATTTGTAGCTTTTTAGGTGGTGTGTATTTTTGCAAAATGGCATTAAAATTATACAATGTCCTTTTAAACAGTCTAGCATTTGAAAACTTACGTGGGAGCTTGTCAATCTCATTGAGGAACTTGTTCTTGATGTCACCAAACATGTCATTTTTGCTGACATGCTCTCCAGACTCTGTGGCATTCTCTGCTGTTGTGGACAGCAGGGGAGCCATGGTCATGGCACTGGCACCGGTGGGCTGTGGGCCCACCATGGCCTCAGGCTTCTTCTTAAACAAATTCCACTTCATGCTTGATGGCTAGGGCGTACAAAAAACCTGCATAAGAAGAGAATATAATGCATTACCAAATGTTGCTTACTAATGGAGATGTGAGTTTGGATATCTACACTACTGCAGAGGTTGGTTCCAGTAATAATCTAACATATCTAGCTCTAAATACTCTAGAACACTTTGATCAGCAAGACTATTATGGCATGCTTGTTTGTACTCACAGCTGTAAGAATATGTTCATATAATATCATGTTCATATAATATCAATATCATTTCTCAGAGGGCAAATCTGCTATTAAGAATGAGAGGTAAATTATGGTGGATTTTCCTTAAGCTCTCTGCCTCATTTGCATCAAATGAAAAAGAAGGTTGTAGGCATAACGGTTCTGAAGGAAAGTCATTCTGTCAGAGCTCTGAATGACTGAACCCTGGGCAGGGCCATGTGTGCCTATGAAAGATGCTGAATATAATGAAAAAAGACCTTTTTCTGTGACTCCACTAAAGTACAGCAAGTTGGGCAAACAAAAAAAAGCACATTTCTCATTTCTCAAGTGTCTGCTCTCTGCTTCAGTGGCACTGAGCCTGTCTTTACCAATTCTGTGTGAATAATTTAATAAAGCTGGCAATTTCTCTGGATGAACAATTTTATTGTTCAAAGGCCTGTTTGGAGAAAATATGGCAGGGGAAACATTTTATGCTTGCATTATGCAATCTTTCATTGCATAAGACAAAGTGGTTCACGACAAAATGCAGGAAAGGGTAAGAAAACAGCCAGGAAAGATCACTCAGTGCAGATGTCCGTGACGAAACCTTTATGAGTCAACCCAGCCCTTTTTTTCCCACTAACATATTCTGATTAATAACACTTTAGCCCTTATAATGCTGAGTGATGCTCTTAGGAAAAACGCCTGTTTATTTCTTGTTTAAGGTTAAACATGCATCTATGATGGCAAAATAAATAACAATTCATATATATTTCATTCTATTTGCCAGCCTCCACACAAAGCAAGATAACTTTTTAACTTAGACACTGTTTGTTGAGATAATTTTAAATGTTTTGGTTAACATTTTAAAGTGGGAGTAAAACAATGATATTATATATAAGATGCTTGGCATGGGCATATTAAATTTCACTGAAATTGGTTTATCATGCACGGGTCTATTAATCCATCAATACACACAGGTAACCACACTCATTTAATCAAACTTGGCAAGCAATATAGCAAATATAATAATGTTATTTAAACAGGATACAAAAGTAACTGTATTTCCTTACAGTTACAGGTAAACATTCACTAATCAGATTACTGATAGATTATGAAAAAAAAACTGGGTGATTACTGGCAGATAACTTTTAAACTTTACAAGAACACGGTCAGATTGATGTGAAGTACCACCCTTAAATATCATTAAGGGAATATGAAACAGTTGGATCCACTCCCATCTCTATCATTTTTACCATGCAAATTGGTCATAAATCTTCCAGATATCCTGTAATAAAACTACTTTATCCCGCCTCACAATATAAAACTAAAGCTGTCTGAATAGAATTCCACACCTTCTACTTTATATACATGAAATGTGAGACTGTAACACGTATGTGCATTAGTGAAATTCTACTGATGTGGGTTTAAGTGAGGCACTTAAAAGCTCCTTCAATGCCTATAGGTCCTGTCGGTGGGTAGCCTTAGGCATAAATATTTCACATTTGTCAATTAATGTGTATCAAGTATGCAAATGTGATCACTTGTTTCTTGCTTTGGAAATGGAATTTGACTTGCTGAAGATGTTGCTTACACAGATGTTTCTTTTCACTTTTGACTTGCTGGAATTATATTTGTACTGAATGATATATTTTCATCTTTAATTGTTTCCCCTTTTTTTCATTGGCTTTACTGCTATTACTCCATTTATGTGTGAATAGAGTTAGTTTGAAGCCTTGAGTGGTTGAAAAAGAAATTCAGTTCAGAGAGGAACGTAGCTGGCAAATGATCCCAAAAAGAAGCATTTTGACCAGGTTGCACACGGTGACATCCAAGGTGGTTCAGACATCCCTGGGGCACTAAGCACTAATTTTCAGCAAAGGGGCCCTTTTACCTGACCAATAAGCCATGTAAACCATTTGCAATTGCCACATGGTCACACCTGACATCCCACTCCTCCCACTACAATCCTTTAAAACAGTTTGCTCCATGTATCAGTCTAAGAATAAGAAGATCTACAATACTAATCTTAATTTTATCTGGCTCCCCCAGATTCCCTCTTATACATTTTCAAATATAAAATACTATTTATACTGTGGCTTGGCTAAATACTTGATGGTTATTATTTACTGAGAGATATGAATCCATATTGCCCAGTATGCCCAGCTAATCAACATGTTAAATTCAGTATTTAATCAATACTGATTGATCATTTAGTCAATGTCAATCCATTCCTTTCCATTTTGCACTGTAATGTGTTATAACTAAACCTTGATTGAGAGACTAGATAATCATTGTTTTAAAATTGTATACACTTATGAGGAGTGTGCCATCATATTGTAAGGACTGGTCTCCACAGAGGTTGCTGCTGCAAAGTGTGAGCTTCATTTTGTGCATATGAACACATCTTTTCTGGGCTGCAGCTTGTAAACAACGTTGCCCACTGGTGTTCATCAAACGTAATAAATTGTTGTATTTCACTCTCACTCTTATCAGGCACAAAGTCACAGAACACAGCCCTGGAAGTGGCAGGGAAGCAAGTAAGACACAGACAGAACTGCCCAGCTAGGTTAGCTAGACAGACAGACTAGCGAGAGATGCACTGTCCATCCAGGTTAGAGAAACAGACAGACTAGAGATAGATGCACTGCCCAGCTAGGGTAGCTAGACAGACAGATTGGTGAGAGATGTACTGCCCAGTTAGGTTAGAGAGACTGGCGGACTAGAGATAGATGTACTGCCCAACTAGGTTAGTTGGTGGCTTACAATCAACGTGTCTGTATATCTATGGTAAAAACAAAGGCCTCACAGAAATATAAATTCATGGGAATTGTACAAGGTTTAGTGCAGGCCACATCAATCCTACCGGCATTTTGACTCCAGCTTGTGTTCACAATTAATCTCTTCTTTTACTTCTCTCCTTTAATTACTGTTAAATTCCTGCATAAAAGTGCATGCGTGAAAGGGATATATGTCCTGATTTCTGAAACTGTAAACTGACAAAATCTTTGTGTGGAATCAAATGCGCTGATTTCCATCATTTGGAAAGAGCTATCCACAATAATGCATTAATAAGGCATATGACAAATCTGAACAAAATCTTTCTGTTACTTCATCTACAAACAATCCATCTATAAGAAGTACTCACAAATGCAATCGACTGTTCAAGACGCAAGAGAGAAACAGTGCAAAAAATATCAATAGTGAACATCCTATGGTGACCGAATACTCACATCCAGTTGATCTAATTGACAAGCACACTTTCTTCTTAGCTGATCACATTTCCTTGTGCATGCTTGTGAATTCTTTAGTTTTCAGTAATCGTGTAAACATGATTCTACTCAGTACGTGAGAACAGCATTGATTAGACTGAAACACAATATTTGCTGTTTCTCTTCCTTTTCCTCTCTAGAGCTTCTGGTTTGTGTGTTTAAGACAGTGTTATGATCACAGAGCTCTGTGAGCCTGAGACTTATCCCCCTGTTTGCACTGCTGAGAGAGATAGAAGACAGAGAGGGAGAGAGGGAGAGGGAGAGAGAGAGAGAATGAGAGCAACGGAAAGAAATCAAATCAGTTTGTTTTTTGTGGTACTACCTTTATTCTGCTCTAGAGGTGGCTGTAATGTACTCAAGGCACTCAGAGCACAAAAAGACACTTTCCTTTTTATGGCCCCATTATCTTCATTTTACAGTGTCAGTCTCTGTGATTTTGTTATGCTTCAGTTATTGTCTAAGCTATTATTGTATTCAGTGGTCCAATGCTTTTTGACAAAAGTGATGGGTACAGATCTAGGACTGAAAATCAAGAGTAAAAATATAATAATTAAATATAATTTTTTTTTAAATGACTTTTAAATGTGTTTTTTTCCAGTCACAGAGAGAAGCCAGTTGCTGCAGCCTTTGTATCAGATTATTGAGACTTCAATGTTAATATTTAATACTGAAGACTTCTAAATTATTTTTTTCATCAACAATGTAACAATTTTGTATGTTTGTGTGTGTGTATTAGAGAGATAGACAGCGTGTGTGTATGTGTTTGAGATGTGTACTTGGAATAACAATTTTGTTAAATTACAAATTTAAAAGTATCAAACTGGCATTGGTTACAAAAGTCCAGTTATATTACTCAAACGAGGTGAAAATGTTTCAAAATTTGCGTTCTGAAAGTGATTTACATGTGACCTGTAGTTTGCCAGATGTCACTAGAATGCTGGGCTTTACAGTGACTTGGCAGAAATACTTGCACTGGTCAAAACTCTGAGGCATGAAATAAAGAAGAGATATGATTATTTTTTACATTTTAAATGTAAAAATGTCACTGGCCCATTTAAATATTTACTGGTAGTCATTTAGATTACATTTTATAATAACAGTGGTTTGTAAGACATAACTATTATAACTAACATTATAACTAATCATGAATTAATCAGTATTTATAGTTATTTATCATGAATTAATATATTAAAATTGCTTTGTTAGAAACATATAAACCATTACTTAATCATATTTTAACAAATTACCTATAAGTAACCCTAATCTAAAGTTTCCAGTCCCTGGCTCGACTCTCTAATGTCTACTCCCATGTAGTCCCACCTTATACACCTGTGTTTTACCCCTCCTTTCCCAGGTGTAAAGGAATGTTTATTAAGGTTGTTGATAGACAGTGATAGACATGTCTAGAAAATCTAGACATGCCAATAGTCATCAACTACCTTAATAAATAGTGCTGCACATTATAATAGGAGTATTCTAGTGTATAGTGTTTATTAAGGTAGTTTCTGAACTAATATCTTCTATTTTGGTGGGTTTTTTATTTGTTGTTTATGGACTAATACCCTCTATT